AATGCCTGGCGATGGAATTGGTTTTTCAACTGCAGTAGACGGACAATAATCAAAGTCACCATCGACATCCGTATCCGATGACTTGCTATCTGGAACAAGACCTTCATCACGCTCTTCCTCGGAACTATCCGTACGCCAAGATGGATCGTGCATGTCGTTGGCTGGAACCGCTTCATAAAAAATTTCTTGAGTTGGTGGTGCAAGCGTTGGGGACGCGACCTCAACTTCCAGATTAACCACTGGCACCATGTTTATGTCGATGATGTCAGTGCATGGATTGCTTGGTTGACTGCTGGATTGTCCACCGTAGTTGACTTTTGCATACAATTCAATAAATCTTGACTCGCCATGTTCAGAAGTGCTTGCATCTACTACTAACGTTACATCTTCATCGTCGACAATTTCCAAACCAACCCATTGCACGGGGTTACCCGAGGCACATCTAGCGGTCAACCGAGCAAGAGTTTGACCACGTTGTAATCTCAACTTCTTCAGCTCGTGAAGATTGCATCTTGGGCTCATGCGAAACATTTTTGCATCACCTTCAAACACTTGCCCGTTTGGACCAAAGTATTTTCTCCCATTATAATAAACAGTTGCTATTAATCATTCCTACCCTCACTCATCCTACAAAAATAGAAAAAAACTAAGATTCAACAACAACACAAAAGTAGTAAACCTTAACATAAAAGGAAAATTTTCGTAGTGGTGGTTCACACCCGAAATGGACTTATTTATAGCTCGTAATTCGCTATGGGGGGTAGCAAATTAATGATCATAATTCGCTATGCCCCCTAGCGAATTAGTGGGGAGATGACACTTGGCAAATATTACATATTTCGCTATGAGTCATACCAAAAATAGCCACATAATTCGCTATGTAGTACATCGAATTATGTGGGGAAGTGACACGTGGCCTGACTTTGAGTTGACATGATCTAACCCTTCTGATACATAATTCGCTACACATGGTAGCGAATTATGTGTCCAACAGGGATGTGACACGTGTCCAAATGGAACTGACCAGGCTGACCATTTGACCACGTATTTCGCTACACTGTGTAGCGAAATACGTGGACCAGTGAGGAGGTGACACATTAGCAGGCCTAATTCGCTACACTGTGTAGCGAATTAGCCTGCGTGGCAGTTTGGGAATTTCTACTGCGCGTGGCATTCTGGTAAATTTTATGATAAACAGTGGCAAAATAGTCACTGTCCCTTGGATTGGCGCATTGAAAAAGGAGGGTGACCAATGGATACAGATCAGCTGGTAACGCAGGCTAAGTAGGTGTGAGAGAACCTAAGTTCGATTCCTACCAAATACATCTTTGAAGAAGGACAAAGAAAGTTGAAGCTTGTGGGGATCGACTCACCTCAAAAGGTAATTAGGGTCAGTATAAAAGAAAAAGTTAATTATATTACTGTGCGAATAAGAATTCTAAAAAAAAAAATAGGCTTGTGCAATATCCATGTTTCAATCTCAAAGGGCTATTGAGTTTTTTGGAGAGATGAATTTTCAATGATTTTATATTATATTTCTCTAACACACCCCTCGTACAAAAGTCCTCTGGGCTTGAAGCATGGTTATTGTATAGACTCATTTTTTTTTATTCTACCTTGTGTTGTCTTAGTTCCACTAGAAAGTGGGGGCACATAAACAACCATCTCACCTAGCAACTTCAGTTTTTGGATAAGGCTACATCAATAATTTTATATTATATCTCTCTAACACTTATTAATTTAAAATCGTGTTTAATTTTTATTTTATTTTATGAAAATCCATATAATAGCGAAATCAGAATATTGCAGAAAAGAAAAAAGATAAAAACTGAAAGTTATCATATTATGACTACATTATGTATTTACACTTTTGGCTGGCAATCCTTGAATAAATCCTTAAATTATTATATTTAAATGTCAATTCATTGACAGGCTAACTCCACCAGCAATTATTGTATAGATTTCTTCCCTCCAATAAATCTATTTTTTCGTAAATATAATTTTGTTCCCCATTAGGTTTTAAAGAAACAAATTTGTATTCAAGATTGAGAAATTATTAAAAAATAGTAAAAAATTGTTGTTTATCTCCGAAAAATGAAAAATGATTTTTACTGAATCATATAACGAGATTGTGCAAATATCAATCCATACAACAATTTAAATAAGTTAAATTGTAATTTAGTTTCTCATGATTCATGAATACGATATAAGAAACGTGTGAAAATCTATTTATACAATTACAAATACAATTATTCAATAAAAAAATTAAACAAATTAAAATATAACAAAGTCCACTTAATGCTTTGACAAGGTAAAAAAAAAAGGGAGCCTGTACAAATTTTTTTCAAAAAAAGATAACGATGTGGTATCTATGATATATTATTCTTCTGTCAGTTAATGAGATTCTAACTTTCATATCATTATTTTATGAATCTCAATATAAAAAATTCAATGGTTGAAAATACAAAAATAACATACGTAGGAAGTGTCATAATTTTTTTTTTAAAAGAACAAACAGAAAAGAAAAAAGACAAGTGTAAATTAATAAATATTATACAGCACATATCTATCCTAGCTGTACAAACCAGAATAGTAAGCAAAATGTAAATCCTTAATAAAATTTTGAGTAAATATTCTTTTGGGCTCCTAACAAAAAATACGATACCTACTTTAGTCCTTTACAAAAAAAAAAATTAGTCAGTTGGTCCCTATGAAATTCAAAGTGGACCCATTTTAGTTCTTTTGAGGGACTAATATGAGTTTTTTTTTGAATTTATGAGGGACCACGATTTCAACTAAATAGGTTTACTTTGAATTTGTTAGGGACCTCGAGACTAATTTTTTTTGTAAGAGACTAAAGTGGGAACTGTTTTTTGTTAGGGACCAAAAAAAATATTTACTCTAAAATTTTATTTAATGTCCAAGATTAGGGCAAATAAGGTCTTAATCACTTCCATAGGACACATAGTGATAGTGGCATTACTTCACCCCCCAGTGCGAGAGCCAAACTTAGAGAGTTCAGCAAGTAAGGATTTTACACTTTCCTAAATTTTTTTCCTGAAATGCCACATAAATAGTACTTTTTACCAGACTATTATGCGTTCAAGTTCATTATCAGTCATAACGAACTTGGTTAGGTCATGTGGCACGTTCCGATTACCAAATTCGCTACCAGTTATAGTGAACCTCGTCGCCTATAATTTCATGACACGTTTTCATTAGCGGACCAAGTTCGCTTCCAGTCGTAGCAAACTTCATTGCCTATAATTTCGTGACACATGCACACTTTGCAAGAAATAAGCTGACTGAACTAAGTTTGCTATGAATGGTAGCGAACTTGGTACGCTGATGAGAATGTGCCACGTGGCCTAACCAAGTTCGTTATGATTGATAGCGAACTTGAACGCGTGACAGTATGGTAAAAAGTATTGTTTACATGATATTTAGGCAAATTTTTTTAAAACACATGACAATTTGATCACTGTTCCAAATTTTCCATTATGAATAACAGAGTGGGTTTATCTGAATTTAAATAATTTATTTATGTATCACAAAAAATTATTTATTTATTTGTTTTAAATATTTTTTACCGATTCATTCATTATTTGATTAATTTGGTTGAGTCAAGAGGATCATAAAAATAACAAAATTCTCTGATCTAAATTTTAACACTACTCAGATTCGAACTCGAGACAACAAAATATGGAGAAAAAACATTTGAATATTGAAGAAAATGTCATTAAGAGGGCGTTTGGTAGGGGATAAATTTTTTTTATCCGGGAATCACAATTTTCAGAAATATGATCAGAAAATGAGTTTTCCGAGAATATTATCAAAAAGTTATTTGGTAGACTAACATATTTCCGAGAATATTGGGTTAATTTTCTTGATACTATATTTGGTTGTATTAAAATTTTCCTTGTTATAGAAATCCTAGAATACCACCCCATGGTATTCTTGGATGGTATTTTCAAAAAAATTTACACAGAATAAAATTTCGGAAAAATCTGATTCCCAGAAATTTTTTAAAAATCTCATACCAAACATGAATAAATAAAATTACTACTTTCAGTTTTTCAAGAATGCCAAAAAAAATCTTGTACCAAACTGCCCCTAAGAGACTCAATAATTTTTTATGGGAATTAATCTCATGTCACATAGACGTTAAACAAAATATGTGTTAGCATCTTTTCTTTTTTCTTCTTAAAACCCATGGACCCCATGTTTCTTGTTTTAGTTAAAAAAATTTTCTATTATATTAAACGAGAGAAATATGACTACTTTTTTTTTTATTATTGAACGAAATTTAATTAAAATAACATTATATATATATATATTTTATTAGGATCATTTTATATAAGTACAAATTATATTTTCAAGCTTGATTATTGCTCTTATTATATGCAATTGTTTTGAGCCATTTATTTAGAAGTAAATCAATAATAAAAATTTAATATAAAACTTTTTTTTTTGAGTTATCCACTCCTAAATTCCGGTACCTATACAAGAATAACCTCCATCTCTCTCACAAAGAATAAAGAGTATAAGAGTTGAATAAATGACAGAAGCTCTACCTAACAGTATAATTGTTCTTAACTACTGCACTCGTAGAAATTACTAATGTGCTGTAAAACTAAAATCTCACCGTCTTGACTTCATTTCTTTTTCTCCATACCTGTCTTTTCTGTACTATCTTCTTGTTCTTGTTGTTCACATATACACGCTTGTTCAAATGCTCCAAAACACGCAACAATACATAAACAAATGCAGTTAATGTTTCTCACGTTCCACATTGTTGGGGACCCTTTTCTTGGATCCAATTCTCTCTCTCTCTCTCTCTCTCTCTCACACACACACACACTGTGAAAAAACAAAAAAAATGACCACTTGCTGAACAAAAATCAAATCTTTTTTTCTTTTTTTCTTCTTCTTAAACCAGAAAAGTTTTTTATATTCCAAGAAAAAAAAAAGAAGCCTTTTTCTTTTCTTCATTGGCAACCATGACCGAGGTGCGCCACTCTCCAACAACATCAACATCCCATTTTTCTTCATCATCATCACCAACCACTCCTTCTTCCTCCGATGGCATTCTCATTCTCAGCACCGACCAAGAACCACCCTCTTCTTCTCCTTCTTCTTCTTCTTTAGCGGTGGTGGATGGTTTTTCTACGGCCACTGACTGTGACACAGTGGATATCACGGACAGGGAAAGGACACAGCAAGAGCTATCCCTCTTGGCCATTCTTGTGACCCTTTTCAGGAAATCATTGATTGCTTGCAACAGTGACATGAGGGAGCTTTGCACCATGGAGATCGGTTGGCCCACTAACGTGCGCCATGTTGCGCATGTAACCTTTGATAGGTTCAATGGTTTCTTGGGTTTGCCCGTTGAGTTTGAACCTGAAGTCCCCAGAAGGCCTCCAAGTGCTAGGTACCCACATTGTTGTTGTTTATCTTCTTCTTTTGTAATTTACTTGTTGCCAACTCATCACATTGTTTACTTATATATATATATATATATATATATATATATATATATATATATATATATATTTCATCATTCATATTATATGCCATAATATTACTAATTTTCTGACCACAGGTTTGTGTGTATAATTACTAAGTAGCAATTTAATCATTTGTTCATTGAGATTAACTTGGTTATGGATGTGACTATGTGGAAGTTTATTTATTAATATTTACATATTAGATACCACTCCTTGGATTAATTATTGGGTGGGATAGATCATGGAATTTCAAACAAACAACAGTTAATTTCATCTTCCTCGTTCTGTTACTTTTGCAATATAATATGTAGGCCCTCATCAGGCCATTTGCATAATGGGGTTGCATGGTGATTTTCTCCTTTTGGAATTTGGATATCACTGACAAGAGGTGCATCTTCTTGTCTGAGTAGTGGGTGGATTTAGATTCTGCTCTCTAATTGGTTGTGTGCTGAGGTTTAAATGTTATAAGGTTCCTCAATCCTCATTAGAGCAGAGATTAGTTGACTTTTCTAAAAAAATTTGCCTTCTTGGCCTTGTTACTTAGTTGAGGTTTAACAAATGCTGCTATGTCCCCTCTATGAATTGTTTTGTTTATAGCAAACCGCTTGAAGTTGGCTAGTTAAACAATTTTGTAAGCCCATTATGAGCCTATTGAATAATGACTTTTCAGTCACATAAAAAGTCTTTTGTAGATTTCCTGTTTTTGTCAATTCTTCATACAAGGCCCTTATTTCTTTTCAATTTTTTGTGCTGCATTGGCGCCTGGGATATGTTCAACCTTTTGAAATCTGTAAATTGCTCCCTTTTTTTGGGAAAATGGAAGGGTAAAAGGATCATATTTGGTTGACAAAACATCAACTTGCTGGTCATTGATTTCATATTAATAATTCATGGATATATCAAAAGGATTTCGATGACTTCTGCCGGGTTATAATACTTGCAAATGTTAGGTGAGAATGTATAAATAGTTTTCTTTGAAAATTTTAAAAACTCTGTCAACCTTGTACAATATTTGTAGTTGGTAGTATTTATCATGAATAAATATGTTACCTGTCTTTATCATGATGGCCACTTCTTGTTTAGTTATCTGATGTGTGATTTTTTGTGTATTCTTTTGTTTTGATTTTCACATGTAGTGCAACTGTTTTTGGAGTTTCAACAGAATCCATGCAGTTATCGTATGACAAAAGAGGGAATAGTGTGCCAACAATTCTGTTACTAATGCAAAGGCACTTATATGCTCAAGGAGGGTTGCAGGTTGATCTTCTAGATTTTTTAGCTTCTCTTCTCCTTATCACCATTTGTCATGGCGTTGAATTTAATAACTGAACACAACTTGAATTTATTCAAATGACTTAGTCATTACTTCATTTTACAAATTACTAGTTGGGAAATATTTTTCTTATGTTGTAGGAGAGTGATTACCTCATGTTATAGAAATAAAATTACAAGTGGGACCCATACGTAAGAGGAGAGAGAAAAAAAGAGTGGTGGGACCTACCCCTTCTTGTGTGTGTAGAAAAATTGTTTATCTCATGTAAAATGAGATAAACATAACCCTTACTACTTATATGTCCCTGCTTTGTTAAACAGTTGAATCTATCCATGCAGGCAGAGGGGATTTTCAGAATTAATGCAGACAATAGACAAGAGGAATATGTTAGGGATGCATTAAATAGGGGACTGGTTCCGGAAGGCATTGATGTACATTCTTTGGCAGGACTAATTAAGGTATAACAATTTACGATACATGGTACATGCTAGGAAACACTATTTGCGGCTGCTGCTTACTTTCTATTTTGTTTGTGTTTTGTTTTGGTGTGTGGAGAGGTGTACTATATACTCATTTTACATTATATATATGATAATTTGACTTTATATTCTTGTACTTTTCAAGGCTTGGTTTAGGGAACTGCCTACAGGTATTCTGGATTCTTTATCGCCAGAGCAGGTAATGCGATGCCAGACTGAAGAGGATTGTGCTGAACTGGCAAGGCAGCTACCTCACACTGAAGCTTCCCTCTTGAACTGGGCTATCAATCTGATGGCTGATGTTGTCCAACAGGAACATGTCAATAAGATGAATGCACGCAACATTGCCATGGTTTTTGCACCAAACATGACTCAGGTTAGTTCCAATAAGTTTTTAATTCTCAAGGAATTGCGGGGAGGAAAATATATACACATACTATATCAGTCCTATTATATTGCATTTTCCAATTTAATATCATGCTTTTGGACATCTTGGAAATCCAATTGAAGTTTTGTTCTATAAGGAAGTATTTTCTGCATTATTTGTTTGAAATTGTTCATGTATATGGGTAAAGCTGTAAAGGCTTTTGTGCTTCATTTTGTGTCATGACAAATTACATGGTTATTGTGACAATACTTTTACCTCTAGTGAAGTCCTGACTGTGTTGTTTTTGTTCATAGGAGTAGTAAAGATGCCAATGTGATATAGTTTATCTATCTGATGGTAGGTTCAGTTACAGAATTTAGTGTTTCTAATTGCAGATGGCAGACCCTTTGACTGCATTGATGTATGCAGTTCAAGTGATGAACTTCTTGAAGATACTTATATTAAGGACATTGCGGGAAAGAAAGGATTCCGTGGTAGAATCGTCTCCTGGATTTTATTTAGAGCCTTCTGGTGAGAATGGTGACCATATCCTTTTGAAGTCCTGCCAGCAACATGCTGCTTCAGAAAATGAAGAGGCTGGTGAATCCTTTGTTTCTGAGAAAACTGTATTAGAATGTTGCCTTGAATCCTTACAAAACAAAAATTCAACTGAAGGAGAATCTGGCAGTGTGATAAGCTCTTCTGAGAATGTGGTTTGTGATGAGGATTTGTATTGTGAGTTTCCACCCAAAGGAAACATGGGGAAGTGTAAGACTGGCCAATCAAGCAATTCAAGTATTAAAAAGTGGCCCAAAAAAACTAGAGGCCAGCTACCTGTAATCCATGGAACAGTGGCTGTTGAGAAAAAGGTTATTAGCAATCTGAGCCGCATAGATTCAAGATCAGAGAGGATAGAAGCCTGGCGGTGAAAGAAGCATCATTGTGCAGGGTTGTAAATTGATTCTGAGTTCTGACATATGTGGCATTGCAATTGTAAGTTTGTTTGGGTCTGAAGTTGCAATTTGCAAGGACAAGTTTGTGAAGTGGTTCAGTTTTTTTTTTTTTTTTTTATTTCCTGTGTTTGTTTAACTTGTCTGATTTCAAGAATGGCACTATTATCAACACTAACATTGTAATGAAATCTCATTTACTATGTGTTTTTACTTGTGTTCTCATAATTAGTTGTTTCTGAATGATCATTCATCTGTCACTGTTGCAATGTTTAAATTAATCACTTCTGGATCCTCACTCTACCAATTAGGTTTCCTGCCAGTGTATGGTTACCATTGTAGTACAATAGGTTTGCCATACATAATCTTCCATTATTTGCTAAGAAGCAATATGATATGCTAATTAATACCTAAAGTCGTAGGTCAATGTAGCTTTTATTTTATTTTATTTGTGCAATAGTAGAAAAACCTTCATATCTACTTCAATGAAAGTCTCAAAATTGTATGATTTGTCAGATTAAAATAACTAAGTGTAATGAATGATAAGTATTGTCTAAATGTGAGTTGATGCGTGAGTAACCTTGTATGGGTAGAATTCAAATCTTATGTACCCACTATCTCTGACCGTGTGTATAGAAAAGGCTTTGTTGAGAGAGGCTGTATCTATAATTGCGTGATCTCTCCGCCTCGAGGGGATTAGTCGGCTTTGTTGAGAGAGGCTGTATCTATAATTGCGTGATCTCTCCGCCTCGAGGAAATTAGTCCTTGACTTTCGGCTAAGAGATATTCTTGGAACAATTTCCAAAAAAAAAAATCTTATGTAAAGTTCATCATACAAAATAAATTCAGACTATTTAGTCTACTTATAACAAAGTAGATTTTTTGGTGCTACGATAACTATAGTGTACCAAGTAATGTAGGATAAGTACGGATCTATTGTCATCACGAGAAATGAAAACCACACATTAAGAAACTTCAAATAAAGCATCACAAGCTACTTTCCCAAAAAAAAAAATGCATTTGTGGGTTCTTCGTGTGTATATATTGAAGGACAAGGTAGTGAAAGCGAGAGCTAAGTGTGAATGAACCATTTTCGAGCAGGCAAATGTAAAGGAACTAACCGAATATTCCTCATGCTCTTTCCAACAATAATAATAATTTGCAAGTGGCTGTAGTGTTTGTTTATGACTTTCCTATGCTGTAGCCTTATCCGAGTGCAGAAACCTGCATGGGATACTAGAGTTTAACTTTAACCAATTCAACCAAAATAGAGTTAGTTGAAGTAGTATATTAATTCTGCTGAAGTAAGATTTTGGGTTTAAATATTTGTGAATGCAAAAAGTTCTCTTTGGGTGAGCTAGCTCCATCATAATGTAAATATTCCCGACTCAGACAAGATTATTTATAGTAAAAGATACTTATGATTTATAAAAAAGAAAAAACTTTAACCAATTCCAATTGCTAAAGTTGATTTCAGAACGAAAATACTTGAATAATTTTATATTTGGGAAATAGTTTTATCATTTTATATAAGAAAATTTTCTCATGTTACATTCACAATACATGAGTGGGTCCCATCTTGATTTTTTTTGTCTTCTCACCTTTTTGTGGACCACACTTATGTATTGTGTGTGTAGTGTTGGTTTGATTTTTTAAAAAAGTATAGAATTTAGAAAGAATTCAAGTATGGGAACGGGAAATTTAGTTTCTTTCGTTTGTTCTTTTTTTTTTTTTTTCTTGAAGGTAAATTTGATGGTTTTTTTAAATTATAAATTCTAAAATGCAAACTATACTAAGAATAATAAGAACACGTTTAAATGAGTAAAAATGATGATTAAAAAATCTAGAATTCTGAATTCAATGACTTTTCCTTGAAAGTCGCATGTCTGCGTTTTAACTGCTATAGCACCTATCTTGATGGAATTTGACTTTTGTAGAACTTAACTAAACTTTCCCAAATTTTGTTCTAAAATGATTCAAATTAATCCCTTAATCCTGAATCAGTTCATTGATGACTTATAGTCAAATTCTTTCCTAGATTATTCCTAATCTTGAAATCTTGAATTAATGAAATGCATAAACTCAAATTTCATTGATCAAACCTCAAGAACATGCACAACAGTTTGAATCGATTAATGGGTACTTGTCAGCTTCATCAGAATTCTAGAAAATGAAATTAGCAATGCATGTTGAAAGATAAAGCAAAACTGAATTCTGAAATAACAGTAAACATGTTTTTCATTCAAAAATACCAGAAATAGTAAAGAGTAGAAGATAATAGACCAATCTCTTCTTCAAATTCAAATTGCTACAACCAAGAGAAACTAACACACGATGCTACTGTTCCAGAAGGACGTATGCAAAATCCGTTTCCTCTTGAATCCCTTCAAGAAAGATCTCCTTCATACATGTATCTCCAAGAAACTCTCAAAGAAAATTAAACGCTCAAAATGTAAAAAAACTGAATACAATGAAAAAAATGTAAAACTGAGTTCAACAAAAAAATCTCACTTCAACTAAAATCTGACATTTTTTAAGTTCTGAGTTCAACTCTCCTTTTCAATGAAGACTCTGATTTTTTTATTAAAACTAAAGCTTCAAGTTGATTTTGTCCCTTAGATCCAACAAGCATTCAATGGTCCTCAAATTGCTATCTCATCTTCTTTTTTCATCTTTCATTGCCATGTGTCCTTTTCTGTGTATAATAAAAAAATAATTAGTAAAAAGTTAAAATTCCTTTTTTTACCTCTTTTACCAACTTGGGCTTACTTCTTTAAGTTTGGGCCAAATTTTACTTGCATTTTAATACAATTCAGCCCATAAAATATAAGAGAATTACCACTGAATTAAGTAGAAATTAAGACTAACATATAGCATAAGAAAATTTTCACATAAAATAAGAAAATCAATTCCCTTTATATTTTTAATGGGAAAAATATTTCTCCTTTCATAGAAAAAGTGTCTTCTCATATCATTCTCTTTTTCATTTTCACAATTTTTTTTAAAGTGAGCCCATTTTTTTTCCTCTATCAACTAAAAATTCTAATGTCTCGTTTGGATGAGCTTTTTTTTCTTCAAAAGCTGTTTTTTTAAGAAAAAAAAAACTTTTCAAAAAAAGTCTGTTTGGATGCTTGCTTCTAAAAAAAGCAAAAATCATAAAAAAAAGCCAAAAATATACTTTTTTCGAAAACTAAAAATTTTAGCTTTTAAAAAAAGCAGAAGTCAAAAGCTAAATATTTTTCAAAAAATTTAAATAACTGTAACTTTTATAAAAAGTACTTTTAAAATAAAAAATAAAAAAAACAACTTTCTTAAAAAGACAATACAAACGAACCCTAAACCTCTCCTATGACGGGAGAAGTTGAAAGCCCATCTTTAATATGTTCTATTAGGTAAGAGTTTATTTTGACTTGAAACCTGAGTTGCATATATTCATCTACATGCTAAAATTCCACTTTTTTTATTAAAAGAAAACGAAACCGCAATTCGCTTGGTTACCGACACTATAATGATAGTCACATAATGAATCAATTCCCTTAAAAATTTAAACTCTTAAATAAATATACATAAACAATTTTATATTATATCTCTACCACCCAATACCCCCAGTGAAGAGTAGATTCATCTTAAGGACAACTTCAGTATCACTGTAGAGAAAGATGACACCATCTGAACCAAGATTTGGTGTTATAATCTTTTGTCAACACAAAAGTGATATTTGTGAGAACTGGGAACTTCCGAATCACCACGTGTCACATGAAGGTGCACAGAAGCATGCCGCGTTGCATGCAATATTGAATCATGAAAAGCCACTTGGGCAGCTAACAAGTGGTTAAATATGTGATAACGTGGAAAAATACTGTAAAGGGTGTGGTTGTATTGTATATATACAACTAGGGTTTTTGACCCTTATGCCCCTTAATTAATAATTAATTACCAAATTGTCTCTCATTCAAAACTATTTCGAAAATTTACCCTTCCCAACAAACATAACACCAATCTGCCCCTACCGTTGACCAACAAACATAACACCCCGGGTACACCATTACCTACCCGGGTAAATTTTGAAACTTTTTATCTACCCGAGTATGTAGGGGTGTACCCGGGTAGAGTTCTTGAATCTGGGAAAATGTTTGAATTATTTACCCGGGTACGGAGCAGTGTACCCGGGTAAACATCGACGGTAGGGTTTTAAAATACCCCAGCAGCCCCATTTCGAAAACCCACAAAAGGGGTACCCGAGTAGAGCTGCTGGAGGAGTGTCATCTTGAGCGATTTCAGGCAGAATCTTGCACTAATTCGTCTTGTTTGTGATCATCATTCGCGGACCTTGCAACCTCTCTGCCTTCTACCGATTGAAATCGATCAAAGGTGAATTTTTTTTTCAGTTTTTTCAATTATGTTATGATTTCTGTTCTGATTCATTGTATTTTCGTTTATATCATTTGATTCTGTCCGAATTATTTTATCAATTTGTCTAACCCTAACCCTAACCCTGAATCTAACCCTAACCCTAACCCTAACCCTAACCCTAACCCTAACCCTAACCCTAACCCTAACCCTAACCCTAACCCTAACATGTATCTAATTTCTGATTTTGGTTATTTTTTCAGTTTAATAGTGTGACACAATGACCTCTCGACGCGTTTCAAAGCTGCCAGTGACCCATTCCGAGAGAAGAACCAAGAGTCGTCACGATGGGTCGTCATCCTCTCAGCCCCAGGCTGCTTCGAGTCAGGCTCCGGACTTGACGTTCGGATATTTGTTTGAGGATGACATTCCTTCACACGAGAAGTTCGTGAAGTTTTTCATGACCCGGAAGATCTGCGAACCGAAATCACTGGATTCGGCATTCTTCAACCTAGAGCGTTTTGACATCGTGCCGCTTCTTGAGCAGACACATTTACTTCACCTGGCGGAGATGCGGTGCCCATACTCGGAGGTTATGGTAAGAGCCTTCTACCAGAACCTTGGCTACTCGCAAGGCGAGCTGACTTCCCGTGTCTGCGGGATTGATATCATCATGACTGCTCCTATCTGGACGGAGCTACTGGGGTTCGATTTTGATGGTGTCACAGGAGCAGCACTATATGATGGAGACAGCCATCATATATTTGGTGATTATAACCGGGAGACCATTGTTACAGAGACTAGGAGGGCAGACGCTGAGCCCGGTCATTTTGCTCATTATCCTGTTAGCAACTTGTCAGTTTCTGCTCGCATTCTTCATTATGTGGTGACACATATTATTTTCCAGCGCCCGCATAATCACTCAAAGGTGCTGGAAGGGGACTTTGTCATCCTGTGGGCCCTCCTTCACAGTCAGCAGGTGAACTGGAGGCATTACATATGCATACTGATGTGGAAGGCAGCCAAGTCAAAGAAGGCTGAATTGCCTTTTGCATTTCTGGTGCAGAAGATTCTGCATAGATTTGGAGTGCCTATGGCAACAGAGACCTTGAAGACCGCCAGAGGCTGGAATGCTATATTTGGTGAGAGGCTCCTGAAGCAGTGTGGGATCCTACCGAACAGAGCGGGTATCTGGACGTGGAAGAAGGCACCAGAACCACCTGAGATCCCATTCCACCACGATGCTGAGATGGAGGATGCACCTGCAGGTGATGTGTTGGTCTTTATGAGTTTATGCAATTTTGTGTTGTTTAATTTTTAATGTGGTATTGAAGTTTGTTTTTCATGGTTTATGATGTAGGCCTTGATGATGATGACGATGATGATGGCGTTGCTGAGGTTGATGTCAGACCGACACGTCCCACCCGCAGTCGGCGACCACCAGCTCCTCCTGAGGGTGGATGGACACTTGATCATGTCATGGCATCCTTATATGATCTGACTACTGACTTTAGAGGATATAGACAGAGCACGAGCAAGTGGCGAAACCAGATGGACACAAGGGTTGCACGGTTGGACACAAGGGTTTCACGCTTGGAGGGTTTAATTGGCGAGGGTGCCCATACTCAGGAGGAGGAGGAGGAGGAGGAGGATGATGACAATGGGGATGACACACAATCGGATGAAGAGAATGGGGAGGACACGGCATCGGATTAGTGTGTCCATAGGGTTTCATATCATTGATTTAGTTTGATGTAATGTAGTCATTTTGGTACATTTAGGAACTTTACCTACATTGCATGGATGTTTTTGTACTGGATATTCAAAATTTGAATGAATGAAATTTTCGTTTTGTGCACGTTCAGACTTGTTGGTTCTATGCATTAGTATGGGACCTTGCATTAATATTGTCAATCCACCCCCAAGTCATACCGTATGTAGGTATTGCACAACAATTACCAAAATGCAACAAAAATTGCCAAAACAGCATCTGCAACAGCATCTGCAACTGGTCTACCCGGGTACCACGAATAGTCTACCCGGGTAGTATGTACTCGGGTATATCATTACGAGTTACCCGGGTAGACCAGTTGCAGATGCAGCAGCAGGTGCTGTTCAATCCATTTTGTTAGCATCTTGGTAATTGATGTGTAATACAATAACCTTAACTGACTCGGGGAAGGGGTAAATGGGTATGGTAGACATTCGGATTGCACAATACGGAACGAGTGACTCGCTAAACTTAACGGATACATTTCAACAATACATTTCAACAACACAAGAATACAGTTCAACAATACATTTCAACAACACAATACATAACAAATACAAGATAAAGTTTAGGGTACAAGGAAACAAAACAATACGTAAAGTGATTGTCATTACAAAACAAAGTACTACACAAAAACAATACGTAATCATGCTTGTCTTAGTCTCAATGGACATGTACGAATGTTATGTCCAACTTGCTTGCAATGCTTACATCTGCTCTGACTGCTAGAGGGTTGAGACTCAACCCAATCCATCTCATGAAGCAACTTCAGGATTGTTCTCGATAAATTCCTTGTACCTAATGTCGAAATTTATCTTTGAACATGTGTACCCTGCAAAAAACCATGACATATGCATTAGTTAGTGAATTTCATCAACGTTTTCTTCAAATGGTTGAAAATGTGAGTAATTATACCGTACATTACCTAATTTCATCAACGTTTTCTTCAATTCCACATTCCTAAAACGGGTATTGAAGTTGCTTCCGATGTGACGTAGACAAAATACATGATAAGCATATGGAGGCTGCCACCCTCCGTGGTCTTTCACCGCCCTTATGATGCTTCGATGACGATCGGATATTAGACAAATACCATGCTTGTGTGTGACATGAAAACGTAAAAGGCTAAGAAACCAGGACCAATCATCCAACCTCTCACCTGGAGGAACAACAGCAAAGGCAATAGGGAGCAGAAATCCATCTCCATCCTGAGATGTTGCAATCAATAGAGTACCTCTGTACTTCCCATATAGATGAGTGCCGTCAATTTGAATTATAGGCTTGCAGTGTTTGAATGCTTCAATGCATTGGTGAAATGTCCAAAAAACCCTTTGAAATACGGCCCTGTCTGTATAAACCCGACGTTCATCAAAACATTGATTTGTATCAAGTTTGAACACAGAACCCACATTCACCTCCGTCATATACTTTAGCCAATTTGGCAAGAATGCGTACGATTTCTCCCAGTCACCAAACAACTTAACGATGGCCTTCATTTTTGCCTTCCAGGCCTTCCTGTACGTTATGTTGTATCCATATGTTCCCTGTATCCTCTCCTGTATCAGAGCTGGTCTTGTGGATGGATCTTCCTTTAACATATCTGGAAAAAAAAAATTAACTTTACCATATTCTCAATTAATCTGAATCATTAAATAAACAGTAGAATACATACTCATTATAGCCGCACAAATGACATTTGAATCCAACTGTCTATGATCCTGTGCTAGGCCTTGATTTAGGCATGTGTGACCTTGACCCCATTTACGGACCACCCAGTTAGCTCCCTTCTTCGGCTTAATTGCCCTCATATACCAGGGACAACCGTCAGCATGGTTTTTACACTTCATAACAAATCTTGACTCGTCGCTTTTTTCAACTATGGCTGTCCTGCGCCCCTTCATACAATGTATCTTCACAGCATGTTGCAATTCTGGTTTGGACCCAAATTCTTGTTGCACAAATAACGGATCTCCTAACTTCCAACCTCCGTGCAAGTCATCATCGCCATATAGGATCTCCAACTCGTCATTAGGGTGCGCCCAGTTAATGAATGAATAATGTTGGCTTTCATTCCAGAATGGCTCCTCAGACCCTGCATCTAAAGATCATGTCAAATTTAATAACTTACCACAAATAATAAATTGTCTAAAGCAAATATTCAAATTTAATAACTTACCACTACTGACTGGGTCGACATGAAGTGGTGACAAGGCTGGGGTACCGAGACTTACGGCGCTCATGTCAGCCTCAAAATTACCGTCCACATCAGTGTCTGACGAATCACCTTCTGGAATAGCACTTTCAGGTTCTCCCTCCTCTTCGCTGTCCACATAGTCCTCGTCTTCATCCTCTTCATCCTCATCCCATGCTACCTGAGGAGGTGCAGAAGATCGTACAACTGTATCTTCTTGACCGGTACAGTGTGCAGTAGTGGTTGTATGCACCGGTAAAGATGAAGATTGTCCAACATCAACTTCAACATATATCTCAATATATTTTAATACTTTCCATTCAACAAACGCATCTGTTACGAACTCCACATCTTCATCATCATTTATATCGTTTCCAATGTAGTATATTGTATCCATATCCACTACAGTCTCTAACCTGGCTATCATGCGGTGGATGGAATGTATGCCTTCTGACCCCATTTTTTGAAGAATTCTCTCCTTCAGTTCATTGCATGTAGTGCCCACTTTGATTTTCATCGTTTTTGTTTTTCCTTCAAATCGGACACCGTTCAGACCTTCAAAATGCCTCCCATTGTAGTAAACAACTATAGGAACCATGTTTGGACTTGAACTCATCTTTCACACAAAAATTAGATCTAGGTTTTGGGTTTGGAGGTTGGTTCAGATTTTTTAGCACAAAATGGGAGTGTGGAGATGTAATCTCAATGTCCCCCCAAGATTCAGCTTTCTGAAATGATGAGATGAAATATGTGTGATGTTTCGGATTAGAGAGGGTAAGAGAGAAAGATTTGGGGTTTCAAAAACCCTATACCTCGCAACAATGGCCGAAACCCATACATATTGGGGTTTCTGGACGCGATTTACCCGGGTACACTGCTACGTACCCGGGTAAATAATTCAAACATTTTCCCAGATTCAAGAACTCTACCCGGGTACACCCCTACATACTCGGGTAGATAAAAAGTTTCAAAATTTACCCGGGTAGGTAATGGTGTACCCGGGTAGGCTTCGTGGTCAACGGTCAAACAGGGGCAGATTGGTGTTATGTTTGTTGGGAAGGGTAAATTTTCGAAATAGTTTTGAATGAGGGGCAATTTGGTAATTAATTATTAATTAAGGAGCATAAGGGTCAAAAAGCCATACAACTAGTCTTGCTGTTCACATCATTATGCTCTGGACGGCACCATGACACGAGAACATTTGCTCAAAAATTTCAATTCACGTACTAAAGTTTGTTGTCCTGTCCCTTGTTTTCCATTGGTGAGTCCAGTCTCCATATGCATATATGAGCATGCTCATGGTTAAACATATTCATGTATTTAGGTAGAAGCCTAAAAGGATAAAAAATTTCTGTCTGATGCAATTTATATATATACACCCAAAATTAGGGAATGCTCAGCAACTGATCCAAACTGATCTAAACCACGGTGATCGAACTGAAAAATCGATAACCGAATTATTTAAAAATCAAAAATGATTTTTTTTTGCATATTTTAATTAAATTAGATCGATTTTCGGTTTGGTTGGTGAAACTCGATCTAATTGTATTATGTATTTATTATTTTTGAAAAATGGTGACTTGGAATCTTATTGTTTTGTAGACTTGAAATCTTGAATATTATTAATAACAAACTACCTTATTTTAATTTTTTATTGTCTATTAATTTATTTTAACTTTTCATAAATTTTATAATTTTGTTTTAGTTTGAAGATTTGAATTTTTCAGTAGTTTATAACTTTGTATGACTTTATTTTATAATAGCTAGTGATTTATATGACTGAAATTTTAAGCTTTTTGAAAAATCGAAAACTAATCAAATCCAAACCGAATAAAATTGAATTAGATTTCAAAAAAAAAATTCAAAACAAATGGATTATTAAATAATCAAACAGAAAGAATTAGATCAAATGATTTTTGTTTCAGAATACATCCAATTCAGATATAGAACACCCTATCCAAAACTACGTCTTTGTTTTATAAAATACCAAGCCATAAAGTAATCATCACCATGACAATTGTCAGGTAAAACATTTTTTCACTAGGTTAAAAGCCAAAAATGCTAGGAAGGATACAACTTTATTTTAAAAAATAATCATATCCTCATCTAAGCTGCACCAATCACATCACCATGGGCCAAAATGTTAAGTCCACGAATTTTAATATAGACAGATGACAAATAAAGTCAATGCATTTCCTTTCAAAAACGAAATATTAAGTGAGGGCACCTAGAAGATTTTTTAAGAGATAATAACTCAAATAATCTACCGGTTCATAAATCTTACTAATATAGTTTAACGATTTTTTTTTTTTAAATTTCTCCGCCAATTCATAGTTTAATCAACAAATTCGATCAAGTCCGTCAAGACCACAAAGCACCAAAACTTTTCTTATTAAATTTTTAACACAATTATGTACTCAGAACTCCGATCCAAAATAACTAATTAAGCTATAACAAACTTATAACATCTTATGCGCGTGCTTGGTAATTTAGGGACGTTTTTGGCCACCAAATCCTGACCAAGCCTCGTAACCACCCATTCCTGTTCCACATAACCGGATAAAAAGTTACAAAAAAAAAAAATAATAATAAGGAAGAATTCACCAATATTCAGTAATTTGCTTCAGAATCATCTATGCTTTTGAGATTTTTTTTTATCACAAATATTTCTGTGCTTTGTAGAATATAAAAAATCACAAGAGCATATATGATAAAAAAATATAGTCTTTTGCAAATCACAGATATATGTGATAAAAAAAATCCATATAAACATAAATGATTTTCGGAGTAAATCACGTCATCATTGTTCAACTTTTCCCAAAAAAAATCATAGCATCCTACATATAATGGCATCTTCATCTTGATTTGTTCAGCTCATGCTATTTTCGTGCCTCTTTTCCACTTTCCTCTCACCTTCCCAACCACCAAAAAGTTGAACATATCCTTAGTTTCTTTTTTTCTTTCTGTCTGTCTGTCTGTGCTGTTTTCTTTAAAAAACACCAACCTATACAGAATATTTTACTAGATAGCAAAGCCATGTCAGCCTGTGGAAGCCTGCAACACATCTTTGAAAATCCATTGCCAGAAAACCATAAACTTCTTGAACCCTTATCATGGAACCAAATTAAACCACTCAAATCCATTGATCACACCTCCTCCATCACTGAGATATTTGGTGAGCTCCATTTCAAGGAGAGTACTCCTGACCCATCACCACCACCACCACCTTCATTGACTCCCCGCGTTTGTTCTTCATCATTCACAGAGATAGACGATAACCAAACCCCATCTTCTTATTCAGTACCCTATGTTTCAAGCACCACCCCAACAACAAACCATGCAAAAAGTCACAAAAGTAGTGACAGCTTTTCATCCTTGAATTCTGAAAGCTTGCAGCTTTGCACCGAGGGTCTTGGTTTAGAAAGCTCAGATGATGTTGAAGAATTGAAGAATGGGATGAATGAGTGGTGGCAAATTCAGAATGAGGAAGAAGGTGCCAAAAACCATTTACCTTCATTAGAAGATTCTCATGGTGAATGTAGGACTAAATCAAGGGTCAATGGGGTGGAGTACCCTCCTCCCATTTCATGCATAGGGAGGAGTGGGAAGCCTTGGGTTAGCTTCAGGTGTTACAGGAATGATGGGAGGTTTGTCCTTAAAGAAATAAGGATACCCACCCAGGAATTTTTGCATGCTCATAGAGAAGATGGAAGATTGAAGCTACACTTTGTTCAGCCTGATGAAGAGTCTCCTGAGGAAGAAGAAGAAGAAGAAGATGATGTAGATAGTATAGACGAGGGAAAAGTAAATGATGAGAGTGTAAAAGATCAAATAAATGAAGAAAAAAGAGATTGATGCCCAAGCCACCTGATGGAAAAAAGAAAAGAAAAAGGGTAGGACATTTATATGTTTGTGTCTTTGTCTCTCCAATGATGATATATTTTTATTACACAATGTATATGTCACTTCTTTTATTTGTAATAAAATAGAAAAGTAGACACTTACAATAGAAATGTAAAAATGATATAATAATTATGGCGCGCGAATATCAAAATGATTTCTTTCCTAGGATTTGGTAAAAGTAATATCCTGATCGGTAGATGTTGAACCCGATCACACACAATTTAGTATGGTATAATGAGTACCTGAGATGAATCTGTACTGGGATGGTTTTTGGCGCTGGGATTATTTCTGCAGAATGGTAGTGTTGGTGCGGGAAGGCTATGCTTGATACTTGATAGGGACAGATGGAGAGCAACCAACAAGATACTTTGAAGCTTGAGTTTATGAGGTAGGATATTTTTATTACCTATTTTTTTTACTACCACTCCACTATCACTTTAATCACCATTGGATTCAAAAGTTATTTTTTTTTCTCTCTCTTCATTCAACTTTTCCTTTAATCAAATGGTAATTAGAGTGGTAGTAAAGTGATAGTAGAAAAAATAGGTACTTAGAATATCCTAGCTCTAAGTTTAACGAGCTTGATAAAATGACTTGGTTATGCTGCCTTAACATGAAATTTAATTTTAGAGTAAACACCCTTTTTAGTCCGTGGCAATATCTACGAAGTCCTTTTCAGTCCCTGGCAATAAAAAAGGACCAAATTGGTCCCTGAAAGTACAAGAAAAGGGCCACTCTACATATTTGGGAGTTGACATAAGGACTAACATGATCTTTTTTTTGTAATTTCAGGGACCAATTTGGTCCTTTTTTATTGTCAGGGACTAAAAAGGACTTTGTAGATATTGACAGAGACTAAAAAGGGTGTTTACTCTTAATTTTATTGGTGGGCTAAGGTTATTTCTGCTACTTATTTTGTGTGCAGAATGCTTATTAGTGAGCTATGTTATTTAGACATAGTTGAAATTACCTGTTTGTCCCTTTGCCATTCGCTATTAAATAAGTTTTGGAACTCTGAACTGTTGTTGTCATAGCTTTATGTCAGGATAACTTGGGAACAGTGACTAAAGTGCCACTGTTCTGCATCTTATTTCCCTACATGCCACGCCAACAGTGTTATTTCTCAATCTGCCACGGGGGCAAGTTCGCTACACAGTGTAGCGAACTCGGTGTGCTGATGTGTCACGTTTCTGGTGGACACCAAGGTCGCTAGTGTCAGTAGCGAACTCTGGAGCAATTAATGCTGACACAAAGAATAAGTTCGCTGCATGTGGCAGCGAACTAGATGTGAGTGGTGTCTCGTGTACACATAGTTCGCTAAGAGGGATGGCGAACTATGTGCCTTTCAGAATTTTTATTTTGTTGCACGGATTTCGAGAAAAACAATTATATTTCACATTGAATCACGCCATTATGGATTTGTTGCATATACTGGTTACGTTGTTTTTGACTTTTGCGCACAAGATGAATTTTTGGGACGGTGACCAGAAGAATTTTGCATGATATCATATTCAAAACAAACAAATAAATAAAATATCAACTTAAATAATAATGCAGCATGAATATTATTACTGAATGTACTAGTCAATTTTAAAATATTATCCGGCCAATATATTTATTGACCAACAATAATATCCTTTCAAAAATATACAAAATCGAAACACAGGCTGCATATATTTTTCTTGTATTAAAAAACAAAAACAAAATCCAAAACAAAAATAAACCAAAAAATAGCATAATAAATTCATGGATGTAAAAATCAGCACCCAAATAATATCAGTGTATAATATAAAATAATTCAACAAAGTGGTTGATACACGTATGTTCTGCAGTAACCACTGTAACTATTGCGGCATTGCTGCCATAGCCTTTGGCGTTGCGTCTTCGCCTTGCCTGCTATATAGCCTATTTTCCTACCTGCAACGAAAGTTGCACACATAATCAAACAATAGCATGATTCAACGAGAAATATAATTGTTTTTCTTCGAAAGCCGTGCAACAAAAAGAAACAAGCAAATTGATCAGATTTCAAAATTTTGGAAGGCACATAGTTCGCTACGCCCTTCAGCGAACTATGTGCATGTGAGACGCATGTCACATCTAGTTCGCTGTATGTGGCAGCAAACTTGTTCTTTGTGTCAGCATTAATTGCTTCAGAGTTCGCTACTGACACTAGCGACCTTGGTGTCCATCAGAAATGTAACACATCAGTACACCGAGTTCGCTACACTGCCCAGCGAACTTGCTCTCGTGGCATATTGAAAAATAACACTGTTGGCGTGACATTTAGAAAAATAAGATGGGAAACAATGGTACTTTGATCACTGTTCCGATAACTTGTAGGTGGGATAAACACATTTCCTTACCCTCTAAGTCTAGCCTTTTGGGTGATACATGAGTTGAGTTGTTATATCTAGTGTAAATAGGTTAGGTTACACTTTATCTAGACTAGATATATGTAAAAAATCTTAGACATGATCTATTAGTCTTTGTAAGTCCAAATTATAACTTTGGCATAACTTATACTTAAAAATAAAAGTCTTAATCTAGGCCTGTTAGCTTGTTTAAGCATATTAAACATTCCATAATAAAAAAAATAATTAAAATAATATTACTTTATTATTCAAAATTATTAAAATAATAATTTTATTTAAAATAAATAATATGATATAGGCTATCCTATATGCTTATGATATAGGCATGTACAAAAAAACCTATGACCTGCTTTCTAAATAGGTTTTTTTAAAAACATAGACTTATTTTATTTGACTATTTATAATAGATCATAGGCCTTATAGCCCGGCCTAGCCCATTTACATCCCTAATCCCCATGTAACATAAATTCAAATCACAAGAGCATTTTCGGTACACTCAAGTACTGTCAACTTCCATTAAAAAATTGACACTTGGATTTTTTTCTCTCATTTCCGTACACACACATAACAGAAAATGCCACATTGTAATTGGTCTGTCACAACGAGTCAATGTTGCAACTAAAGTACCGTAAATTTTTCGCTATGCAAGGCTGCAAGCAAACTCCAACAGCGCAAGTATTTTGCTAGGTAGGCTTCAATTGAGAGTGATTCGAAGCATAACATGTTCCCTCGCTTTTATCCAATGTTATGAAAATCAGACCTAATCGGCTCTGTCGACCCAAAACTCGGTGAATCGGTCATTTGACCGGTTTGGTTATCACATTGGATCGGTCAAGTACCAGACTCGATACGACCCGACCGATTTTGGTGAAGAACGGTGACCCGGCACGGGTTTTTTAAAATAAAATATTTAAAAAAAAAAGTTTTCCAAAAAAATAATCATAATTAACATATTTGAGTGATCTGTTATTTATTGACTTACCTAAGTTATGTACCTACAATACTAATATTATCTCAGTTATGCACTATGCATAAAATTTTAATTTGATTTATAATTAGAGATGTCATTTACTGAACCTGAGACACTAATATCACAAGTATTATATGTTTGCTTGATCCTTTATTGGACAATAATGTATAATTTATTATTTTTTATATTAAAATATTTAGAATTTATGTTATTTATTTCAGCTATTTGAATATATTTATAATTTTTTAATATAAATTATAGATTTATATATAATCACCGCGTCATGCGATTCAATCTACTACCCACTGATTAAAACATGACCTGGTACCTCGACCAAGTCATTGACCGGACCGATTTTAATAACTGACGAGTTTCACATTGGTTGATAATGGACTAAGTGAAGAGTATATAAATGGAAGTACCCATGAACCTAATGCCTTAAGTTTTGGGTTGAGACATGGTGTCGAATCTACTTGCTACGGTTGGTGTAGCCTTAGCTCATTGGTTGTGGCCCCCCGCCACGGGCTTTCCCTTGGACCCGCCTGACAGTGGTATCAGAGCTAGCTTTTGGGGTGGTAACCTCAAGATTCTTAACATGGTATCAGAGCGTTCGAAATCTCACCGCCTCCCACTTTCTTTGTAGTGGAATTTCCACATGTAGGTGGGCTTGTATGTTGTCCACCCTTCAAGCCCAGTGGGCTCTCGTGTGAGGGGGTGTGTTGAGAAATATAGTCCTACATTGGTTGTATGAACAACTAATGTGAGGTTTATAAAGCCTTGGGCACTCCCACCCTTTGAGCTAGATTTTAGGGTGGTGTATCCCAAAGTTCTTAACATGGTATCAGAGCTAACTTTTGGGGTGGTATATCCCGAGGTTCTTAACAATAACATTGCATTTATCTAAATAATGTATTATCATGCATACCAATAAATTTGCCCCCAATAAATTTTAATATAATATTTTTTTAAATAATGAAAGTTCGATCGTTAATTGTAAATTTAATTTTTTATAATAATATCAGAAATTTATAATTTTTTTTTAATGAATGTCATATGACCAATCTCATAAAATTTGGAGAACAAAACGCCATAAGCAATGTAAAAGACTAAAGAGGCATTAAATATTTAAAATCCATATAAATCAGAATAAAGTTTTTAAAGTAATTTTTATGTAATTTTAGGAGTAAATTTTATGAACTCCAAGAATTGACTTGGTGGAAATATCAGCCACAGAATAGACATATTGCCAAAACAAGAAGAGCAAACTCATGATTAATTTTATATTGGCTCACCCCCAAAAAATAATCAAGGTAATGGAATAACAAAAATAAAAATTTTATGGTATAGAAAAAGTGAGTGCTTCTTTGGTTGCATGTTTGTGTACGCGTAAATAGTTGTTTATGTAAAAATAAAATATAAAAATTCAACTAATAAATATCGAATCATTGTTACACCAAAAGAAAAAAGTAAGAATTTGATCACAAGTAGTAATTTGAAGTTATAATAACTACTATAAAGAGTTATATTCATACGATTAGTAATTTATGAGATAAAAAAGACTTCGTTATTCTCTATTTCATCCTTAAATAATTTAAGAAATTAGTATTCGAAACTTAAAATTAAAAAAACTCTATCTTCTTAACTGGAATTAATAATTACAATTTTATGCCGAAGGTGAAACAGAGCAGATGATAGCACCTTAAACTTGACTCTTTCCTTGTATAGCCACCTGCAGCCGAAGTACAATGGCGATAGTAACTTAACTTCCACTGCGCCTCAATTGCTATCCCTTATCAGCCATTCCAGCTCTCTTCGCTATAAATCTCTATTTTATTTTTTCAATGTTTTAATTTATTAATATCAATACGATTACTGTTTCACCGCCTCGTTTCTAAGTCAAAACATTTAAAATAAAAATAAAAATAGAAATTGACCATTCGGATATCCATATTGCTACCCTGTGAAGCACCGACACTTCAAATATCCTAACGTGTCGTGTCAGACACTTTCCAACATTCACCGACACTTCCCGACACTCCATACTCATTGCAAAGACTTAAAAAAAATTCAAATGTTACGTTGTGTTGCATTTTGAGTTTCAACTATTAAATTCGTTAGATTACGATTACGATTTTATTGAGTTTAATATAAACATTTGAAATATCTTATGTTTCTTTGCAAAATTGATGGGTATTATATGTTTAGATTTATTTTTTTGTTAAATTATTGAATACTAAATATAATATACACTACATAAATTAAAAATATTATATAATATCAAAACATGTCTTAAAATTTAATATTTTTTAGAATTAACGTGTCCCGTGTCAACATAGTTGCTACCAAATAGCATGTTGTTTACCTAAAAAAGAAAAAATAGAAACAAGACAACCAAAGACGGATTGACAGAAATGCTGAGGTCTACTCCCAATATCCTTCTCGCTTGGTAATACTTAGTACTTAGTGCCACTATGTACCAATCTTAAGCTCTTTTCATCACTAGACCATGCCAATAAAGGGCAAATGCATTTCAACCAAAAAAAAAAGAAAGGGAAAATGCAAGTGATCAATCACATGACATTTGAACAACTAGTGAAAATAAACATTGATTCTCGTCATGCTAAGTAGCATCAAGAATATATAGGTCATATGTAAGATCACGGGAAACATAAAAGAAGCAATTCATGACAATAGCATGATAAACAGAGTTGGTGTGTGGTTATTTATTTCTGTGCAACTGCTGCAACCAAAACTAAAATGAGGACACGCACCACTGAAATCTTCAATCCTGCACTTCTGGCTTCTTTGCAGTGCCTTTGAGGTACCACCCTAAAGCCGCAAAAATTGTTATTGTACCAGCTACAACTGCATAATTCCGGTGCTTGTCAGTTGAAACTTTGTCAGTCGATGATTCTGTATATCCCGAGGCACTTGGTTTGGCATCAGTTACTGAACCACCTGAACCTGCAGCTGCCGTTGCTTCTGGTTGAGGACCCTAAATTAGAATATATGTTTTACCATTAAGTTCAAAGCATGTTACTGGTAAACAAATGCAAAAACTAAGGGAGAGCAGTTCTTGCAAACAAGTTGCAGAAACAGAGGGTCTGTTTTTGAATTCTATTTCCAAAATAAAAAAATAAAAAAATCTGTTTAATAATACCTGTTTTGTAAAAATATTTCTAAAAATTATATTTCTTTTTTATTTTTTAGAATCAAATTTAGAGAACATATTTCATTTGTTTCTATTTTATGTTTTGACTTTTATCTTTCAAAACAAAAAGAACACACAAGAAACACCCATTTCATTGACTATTTTACAAAACAATTTCAAGAGAAAAAAAAGCCGATCACAATCAATCAGGCCAGGGTCACACACCACAAGTGACTCTTCAATACACAAAAACCTAGAAGGCTGTTGCCTGCAGTAAAAACAGGATGTGAGAGAATATCAAGAAAAATCAACATGACAGAATTATTTTTTCCTTTAGTTAGATATCGATAGACTTTAACAGGATTAAAAGGCAATCAGCTTTTATTTAATCCAAATGTTGGTTGAAAAAGAAAAGGTAAGTGAAACTGCAAGATTCTATAGTCAAAGCAGCATGGTTATGTAATTATTAATTAATGATAATACTTGTGAGGAAATAATATAAGTTTTTTGTATTCATTTTTTTCTGTTAATTTCTGCAAGGAAAATCATTTGTCAATTAGCCCATTTTTTGAAGTTTCCATTTTACCAAGCACCAATTGCTGAAAAGCAAAAAATATGTCGTCCCTTTCTTCTTATATCATCTTACCTAGAACCACATTTCATTCCCCTTATTTCATGTCACCAAGCATCAACTAGTGACAAAAACAGAGCTATGGACAACGGACCTCACTAACTGCAGTCATCTAAATTATCTACATTTACACAATTTGCATGTATGAAAAAAGCATACTTTGGCACTGGCAAATAGTAATCAAGTTCCATACCCATAGCAGTATGGGTTAGGAATGTTGTACACAAGTGCTTCTCAAGATACAGACAGTAGATTAATTAATTATGGATTTGGTTCTAAAATCAAAATGTTGCAAGATAGTCAACCAAAATTCATATTATCACTTTTATCTATAAGGAAATGGTCCATCATGTGAAAATAAGATCATTGATGGTAATTCTACTTGTTATATCATCAGACTCTACAAGGAATCCAGTTATTCAAATGCGCTAATTGACTCAATATGTCAATCAGTATTTCTTTATGGGTGTTTAATGGGCAGCCGAAGACATCTGTTGTTTGTGTATAAATTTCATGCCAAGGACGAGACAATCTATGCTGAATCTGTTATAGGCAAAACTAAAATTCCCAAATAAACACGTGGTGAAATATATATATTTTTTAAAGTTCGTTATAGGCTCAATTACAATTACAAGTTTCCTCATCGGTTCTCCATAACAGAGTAGCAATTTCAATTTAAAAAGAAAAACACTAAATAGGTTGGACACATAAGGCTATTGCATTTAGTATTTTAGAGGATTTCTTTTTTTATGGATTTTAAATGGGCAAATAAGTCTTTCCTAGCTAGATCATTTGAACCAAGCAGACCTATGCATCTGACCCATCCATTTGCCACCCACATAAAAAAGGTAAAAATCCTCAATCAGAAAACTAAATGCAGAATAAAGGGTTGATGACCCAACAAAGACAATATCTATTTAAATCCAGTTCAACTGTTAAGACTGTTTAAGAAGTCCAGCATGAACTGCACTAAAATCATAAAAGATTAAAAAGAATAAGAAGAAGGAGAAATTTGAGGACATACTTTGCGGGCAAGCTTCTCCAACTTCTCTTGCTCAGCTTTCTGCAATATGAAAAATAAATAGCAAATACATCACAAAGATGCCATCCACAAGCATAAACCTCTACTAATTAGACAAACTGTGCCAACAAAAGCTGGCATCTTTTTCTACAGTAATTGAGGAGATTATCAAAAGATATGGATGCATATTTCTAACGTTTATATCTATACCAACATGTATATGTAGATGTTGAACAGCAATCTATTTTCTAGGCAAGTAGTAGACTAAATATGAAGATTAACAGATCACGAAAATGAACAAATAATTGTTTCCTTCGGTTAGAGGTTAGAACTTAGAACCTAAGGAAACACAAATGGCCCTAACACTCTGGATAAAACTATCTGTACAATTTCAATACATTAGTCAAAGACAAAATGAAACCATTTAAAACAAATCAAATTTTGAATGCACTTAAAAAGAAAATATTAATTTAACGTTCCTCAACAAGTTCAGAGGATGCATAGAGTGGCCTATGCTAACATAACTGACCATCACATTTCTATATTAACAGTACATGCTAGTGGCAATTTTTCACAAGGATTGGTTATAACACAGATTCTAAGCATGTAAAAATATTATGTCTTCATTACAAATTCATCATACAAATCTTATATTGCTCAGTTCATACTTCATACGGAACTTACCCTAATTACACAATGATATTTATGTTCCTCAATACAAAGAGACGCATCAAATGTAATAAGCACTTACTACCGCACCATATGCAACAAAATATCAAAGGAAATTAACAAGGAAAAGCTTCTGAGCACGCAAATTTGCTCTAAAGGCACTACACTAAAACTTCCAATTTTCTCAAATTGATAACAGCATCCCTCAGACAATTTACATCAATCCATAGCACGATAGAACCAATCAACCCGAAGCAAAAGTAAACTATAGCAGCTTTCGAGGTCACCTTGAAGTAAGCATTTTCTACAGCTTTTTCCTCCTCGCTAAGTATTTTGCCAGTGCCGCTGCTAAATAGCCTTCTAGATGCGTATCTTGCAGCCACCCGCATTGCCATTGCAGTTAGGTTTTATGTTCTTCTCACCTGTCAATGATATAATGAATGGTATATGTGCTTGTTATATCATCAGACTTTACAAGGAACCCAGCCACTGGTAATTCACACACACACACACACACACACACACACACACACACACACACACACACACACACACACACACAAGAATGACACAGCTAGAAGAATGCCTAAAAGGTGCCACACAGTTATGACACAGCTAGAAGAATGCCTAAAAGGTGCCACACAGTTCTCATCGAGTTTTCCAACAAAAGGGGCTCTATTCATCACAGATGAAAAACAGTTTTAAATTGCGAATCGCATCACACGATGTGGCAATCGCATAAGCCCATAACGCGACCAAACAGCAATTTAAAACCCTGATGAGAAATAATTTTTATTTTTATTTTTTGTTGGAAAATACTTAAATGATGAATTAGCACCAAAAACCCTCAAACATTTGCAGTGAAAAAGGAAGAGGAAAAAAAAAAAAAAACTACTCCTATCAGAAGTAGTGCATCATATCATAAAATTCCAATGTAAAGAACAACAAAGGCGAGATTCTCTATTTATTGTGAAATAATAAATGGAAAATGAATCACTTAACAGAATGAGATCGTTGGTTGATTAATTAAATGAATGATATAAAAACGTGAACCTAGCTTTAAGCATTGCGTTTCTCCAGAATGTTCTTAGACACAGATTCGCGTGAGCTCCAAAATCCAATCCCAATGTTATCTATAAAGCTTTTTCTTCAGGAAAAAAAAAAGATAAATAAAAAAGAAAAATTACCAGATTCAGTTCAGTGGAAGACTCGAGAGGGATTTCGGATGAAGCAGAAGCAACGGGTTGAGTGTACTATAAGAGCGAAGGTACTTCAGCCTTCCTTCGAGGGTTTAAATACGTCACCGTTTGGAACTATTTCACTGGAGTAAAGACCAAGTTTTTCTGACCTTCATTTTATACTGCTGTTTTTTACTTTTTATTTTCCTTAATCTCTTTGTTAAAAGTGATTAATATAAATATAAAAGTATATAAGACTCGTATAGAATTATGTGAAAAGAAGAGAAAAGAAAAAATATGAGCTCATATAATTTTATAAGGGATAGGTTATTGTGCCTACTCCTATTTTACCTACTTTTGCCTACCCTTTTCGTTACCGTTCGATTACCATCTCATCCAACGATCCATATTTGTGATATAAAATAAACCTTTTTTTCCCTTTCTTTCTTCTCACTTTCTCCCATACCCTTTCTCTCTCCTCTCCTTTCTCTCTTCCTCTACGCTATACCTAATTTTTTTTCCCTTCTGCCGCCGTGGACCTCAATCTCCTGACAAACTGTTCGATTCTAATGATATTTTTAATCTTTATAAATTAATACGATTGAATCGATGACTAACAAAGAAGTTTTGATGTGATTCAAAGCGGTGGTGCCACAAGGTCGATCTGTTCACAGAATCCTCCTTGTTTCTGCTTCAATATGTCGATCTGTTCTTCCACATGATAGATACTCTTAATTTCTAATAATTAATTGGCTATCTGTATCAACATAATTGCTGGAATGGCACCAATTAACCCTCTTTCCGGATTTTTCCAATATCAATTTTTTTTATTCTTTAATTTTTTTATTTATTTTGAATCTTTTCCAACTCTGCACAGATCTTTTGAATTACATTAAAACTTCTTTGTTAGTCATCGATTCAATCTTATTAATTTATAAAATTTATGTTGTTCTTCAGATCTAAAAATTTGTTGTGATTTTTCAATCCATTGACACTGGTAATTTGATAGAAACTGATTCAAAAGGAGAAAATTTATATTACAATAATAAAAAGAGAGACTAATGTATATTGACGATGATTTCAAATGCTGTGGTAATTGATTTCAAATGCTTCCGCGCCGTTCACCTGGGCAGAGATTAACGATAAAGGGGAAAAAATAGGTATATGGCAGAGGAAGAGAGAAAGGGTATGGGAGAAAGTGAGAAGAAAGAAAGGGAAAAAATGTTTATTTTATATCACAAATATGGATTGTTGGATGAGATGATAATCGAACGGTAACGAAAGGGGTAGGCAAAAGTAGGTAAAATAGGAGTAGGCACAATAACCTACTTTCTCTCTTCCTCTACGCCATACCTAATTTTTTTTCCCTTCTGCCGCCGTGGACCTCAATCTCCTGACAAACTGTTCGATTCTAATGATATTTTTAATCTTTATAAATTAATACGATTGAATCGATGACTAACAAAGAAGTTTTGATGTGATTCAAAGCGGTGGTGCCACAAGGTCGATCTGTTCACAGAATCCTCCTTGTTTCTGCTTCAATATGTCGATCTGTTCTTCCACATGATAGATACTCTTAATTTCTAATAATTAATTGGCTATCTGTATCAACATAATTGCTGGAATGGCACCAATTAACCCTCTTTCCGGATTTTTCCAATATCAATTTTTTTTATTCTTTAATTTTTTTTATTTATTTTGAATCTTTTCCAACTCTGCACAGATCTTTTGAATTACATTAAAACTTCTTTGTTAGTCATCGATTCAATCTTATTAATTTATAAAATTTATGTTGTTCTTCAGATCTAAAAATTTGTTGTGATTTTTCAATCCATTGACACTGGTAATTTGATAGAAACTGATTCAAAAGGAGAAAATTTATATTACAATAATAAAAAGAGAGACTAATGTATATTGACGATGATTTCAAATGCTGTGGTAATTGATTTCAAATGCTTCCGCGCCGTTCACCTGGGCAGAGATTAACGATAAAGGGGAAAAAATAGGTATATGGCAGAGGAAGAGAGAAAGGGTATGGGAGAAAGTGAGAAGAAAGAAAGGGAAAAAATGTTTATTTTATATCACAAATATGGATTGTTGGATGAGATGATAATCGAACGGTAACGAAAGGGGTAGGCAAAAGTAGGTAAAATAGGAGTAGGCACAATGACCTATCCCATTTTATAATACGAGAAACATTAATCACTTGTTTAAACTAAAAAGTTCTCTTTGGTTCATATTGGGCTATTTCATATTTTGATTGTGTTACTTTTTATAAACTGAACTTAAGGATTTAATGTCTTTCATATATTATACACAAAAAATATTTCTGCAGTTACTGCAGAAATTATCTACATTTACTTTCAAAACGACGTCGTTTGAGATTGAAATATTAAAAAATTATAATTATAAAAACTATAATAACTCTAAAATAAATTAAAATTATAAAAACATCATGATTTTTGTCATAAAACGACGTCGTATTGGGCTTACTGAAGATAACTTATATGCAGTAACTGCAGAAAAAATGAACCCTATATTATATGAGATACAATTATTTTTTACACATAAAAATTTGTGAGATTCATGTGAATCCTTGTGAAAAGAAAAGAGAAAAAAAATAGATCTTACATATTTTTATATATATATATATATAGGAGATATTATCTCCTACAAGATAAGAAACAATAAACCCCTTAACTATTTCAAAATAAAATAAAATAAACCCCTTAACTTAATTTAGTTGTAACTTAATTAATGATTAAATTGAGATTGATTAATTTAATATTTAAAAATATATAAATGTAGACTCTATATAACTAAATCATAAAATTTTGAAAGAAATAAACTAAAATTAGGAGATGTTTCGTACTATATATTTTTAGTCAAAACTATTATGTTCATTCTTCACAATGACAGATACATATTTATTTCTTCATTTTTTTAGATAAATTAATTGTTTTAGAATAATATTGTCTCGATATAAAAAATTGTCATGTAATGTAAAATATATTCATTGACGTCGAAAACATATTATAATTAATAATATTTTTTTAAAAAAATTATAAGTTTTATAATACTATTGACCTTAGACCAGGTTGGGTCACTTCAAAATATAGTTAGTTTTCAAAAAATAATTAACCTAAACTCAATCTAATTAATTTTAAGTTAAATTAAATTATCAGGTTGCACTAGATGATGCTGAGCGTTCATACTCTTCCTTTCCTAGGTGAAAGAATTTTAAGAGTTGTATCATATTGAAATTTTGTGTTCATCTAAGTAGGACATGATAATTTAAAAAAATTAATAACATAATAAATATTTTTTTCTTCATATGTCTTTAGCGTTATTTAAAGAAAAAAAAAATACTGGGATTCAAACTCACGTCCTGATATAAACTTTGGGAAAAATGTTTGTCATTTTAATTGACATAACACTGTCTTTTCAAGAGAGAGACAGACACAAAAAAAAAAATTTATTTAAATTTTAAATTAAAAAAATCATCCACTTTATCTCTTCCATGATTTTCATTTTTCTGTGTCTATCTCTTTCTTAAAATGATATAACTTATGTCATTTAAAATGACAAACACCAAATCCATAAACTTAATCCTTAACCAAGTGTACCTGCTTTTATTGGTTTCCAAAACTATTTTCAGTGTATTATAAACAAATTGTTTACATAGATTATTCCATTAAATTATTATTTGTCAGATTTTTTTTTTTTCTGTAGACTTATTTGTCAGATTTACATGAGGAGAAATATGAAACATTTTTTCTTGTAAAAATGAGGTTGAATTTTTTTATTCTCATACAATTTTGTTTAAATGATAGAGTAAAATCACTTTTAAAGTGTAAATATATTTTTTGCTTTAATATTTTTACGGTGAATGTAAATAACTTATCTACATTCACTTCCAAAACGACGTCGTTTTGAGTTAAAAAATTTAAAAATTATAATTAGAAAGACTATTATAACCCTAATATAAATTATAATTACAGAAATATCTTGATTTTCGTTTCAAAATGATGTCATTTTGGTCTCAATGACTTGTCTATATTGATGGTAGAAAAGAGGAACCTGTATCTTTTAGTAAAAATGAGGTTGAACTTTTCTTGTAGATACAATTTTTTTAGTACAACTAAAAAAAATCACTTATGTTATCAAAAAATAAAAAAAATAAAAAAAATCACTTCTCTTAAAATAAATTTTGGGTAACTGCAGAATTAATTTCCAAAATCCAAAATTATTATGCAAACTCATTTCATTGACTGCAAACGTGATTGCCTATCAAAACAAACCGGCACTAATCGTATGTGTTGTCCAAATTCTTTCCGGAAAAAAATTCAAAAGAACCTACAAAGATATTATTAATTCACAGTAAATGGTCAATGAAATGTTCAGTAATCTCAAGTTAAATAAATGGCATTAATTTTTTATTTATTTTACAAACTAATTCATCTCCTGCTCAAATTTCACTGATGTTAATTTTGATTATGGGTTCTGTTATGGACCTGACAAATGTCTATATTATAGAAGGTCCAATAAAGGATAACACAAACAGGAAGAAAATCTTCTATTAATGACGATCTTATCCAGACAGCTAAGCAACTCATATTCTAGAAGGCCTAAATAGAGCTAACAGCTAAGAGGGAATTAAGGAAATATTCCTTAATTATACTAATCCTACTACGGCAGCAATGGATCAACAATTGGACCTCCAATACTCCTAAGATGCCCAAAAGTCTACTCCTGCCAGGTAACTCATCTATAAATAAGAGGTTAAACCAATAAAGTATACACGCTCTAAACCTTGATTATGTCGTTTATAATATTGTGCACAGTGATCCGCTTATCTTTAGGGTACCTCTCCTATAGGTACCTGAGAGAGGACAAATAGATCCTATATTAACATATTAATCTCTGATTGGACATATCGATCATTGTAACATTGGCGTCGTCTGTGGGGAACGATAAACTTCGATTCCCACCCAATTTTGGTAAAGGCGTAAAGCCGCCGACTAACCAAATCCTAATACGATGATGGATGCAAAAGAAAAAAATGAAGCTCATCAGCAGCTCAAGGCAGACCAGAGTTCGTAATCCGAGATATGAAAGCCAATCTCAACGAGCATGATGAAA